TTCAAGCTTCTGACTTCGCCCGACGAGAAGGTCGCCGCCCATGCCCTCGCACAACTTAAAGACTCTGCAAGACACAAATTCCGCGAAGAACCGACGGACGAAATTCTTAGTACCTACCTTTCAGGAGAGGAAACAGATCCCACTCTCCCGAAGGGAGGTCGCACCGCCAATCACTGGTCTATCGCTCGTGCTGCCTCTAGGAGAATGAATGTCAGCTGGAGCTTCGACGACGGAATCCCATGAATCCACTATCAAGACATCACGCTTCGCCCTGCGCACCGAAGAAAGATTCTTTTCTCCATCCGGGACCGCCTGCGTACGGATAGAACTGCTACTTTGATTTTGACCAAGAAGCACCAAGGGAAAGTGATGGACTGCGTCTCCCTTCATCCTGCCAGAAGCCATTTCTACACAAGTGGTGACTTCACTCGATTCTGTGACTTCCGTTTCTCGCAGAAATGCCGCTTGGGTGTCGGGCTTGATCTTAATGGATACAAAACCTGGAAGCCTCCCCAAGAGCAGCTCTGCCGATTCGGACATAAAGAAAGAGAGACTCTGCCCCACGTCCTCAATCACTGCTTTGGTTCTAAGACAAGAGGATACCAACTTCGACACAACTGCCTCGTCGACAGAATCAAGAAAGCGGCCGAAAGAGACTTCCGATCGTGTATGAAAATCAGCGAATCCCCGGCACGAACCTACGCCCTGATCTTGTGATCGAAAATGCAACCAAGATCTTCGTGATAGACGTGACCGTGGCATTCGAGCACCGTCGGCAAGCGTTTGACAGAGCCAGGCAGAGGAAGCATGAAACCTACAACTGTCTGATCGAAATAATGAAGAAACCCGGAAAGACTGTCGAGATCGTTCCTTTTGTGATGGGCTCATGTGGTACATGGGACCCGCAGAACGACTCCTTCATGCGGAACTTGTGCAGAGTGGTCGTACCTGAAGCTATTTCAGAAATTGTGTCTCCGACACCCTACGTTGGTCGCGCGACTTATATATTGAGCACGTGACTGGCGTGAGGCAGTACGACCCCGCTGCGTTCCCCACCACCAACTTCAAGTACAGACCGGAAGAACCAGAGGAAGCAGACCCCCTGGCCCCCCAAAGACCAACAGGTAACCAAGAAGTTAGTGCAAATATTTCCGTCTAAAGTGTTTAGTTAGTCTTTTTCTGTTTAGCAAAAAGCACTTCGGTGTTTCTGTTTATTAACAGTTTTAGTGAAAAACCTGGGTGTTACCATGTAAGTGTGGTTTTTAGGTTTAGGACTGGAAATGCTGTTCTCACCCGGAACTTGGTCTAGATTTTCCATTTTCCACGAGACAGTCTTCCGCATAGTAAACCCCAGTCATCTGAATAGTACCGAATGTTGGTAGGACCAACCCACTCTGCCCTGTGGCAGTTGAGGGCGTTCACGCCTTCTCGGTTATCGTAGTATTTTCCTAGTAAAATGAATGCCTCGTGCACATGATCGGGAACTTCCATACATTCAGGTGATACAACAGTTGATCGCGAGTTCGCATCTCGCCTTTGCCTGTGGGTCTTCATTTTTAAAGAGATAATGTTTTAAGGTGGACATACTGTCGAAGAGATCGCAAGTTCGAATATCGTCGGTGCCTCTGTATCGCTACTTTCAACGAATTAATGTTCTAAATCAGACATACTCTCTGTGAATTACATGAGAAGCAGCGAGGCGCCGTGGCTTAGTTGGTTAAAGCGCCTGTCTAGTAAACAGGAGATCGCGAGTTCGAATCTCGCCGGTGCCTATGGGTCGTTATTTTTAAAGTGATAATGATTTAAGGTGGACATACTATCTAAGAAATCGCAAGTTCGAATATCGTCGGTGCATGTGTCTCGCTACATTTAACCACATAATGTTATAAGTTAGGCATACTCTCTGTGAATTATATGAAAAGCAGCGAGACTCTGTGGCTTAGTTGGTTAAAGCGCCTGTCTAGTAAACAGGAGATCGCGAGTTCGAATCTCGCCGGTGCCTGTGTGTCGCTATTTTTAACTAAATAATGTTTTAATATGAACAGAACGCCGCCCTGTGCCCCTATTTCTTGTAGCCATGACAGCTATTTTACATTTGTGCGGACACATGGTGGTAAAGACAAACCCATAAAACCAACCCCACGGAACTCCTGGATGTGTCCCACACTTTTCTGTTTTCAAGAACAACTCTTTTTTTTTCCAAAATACACATAATTTACAAAAGCACAAAAACACAGAAAACAAAATAGGTAGGTTTTACAGACGATTTACATAGATGATAGATGCACCTTCAAAACATGAGGCCCGTTCTTATAATTGGGAGCTATTAAAACACAATATTATAAGGGTTTACCAGACGCTCTTGTTGGTCAAAGAAGTGCAGGCCTCCCACAAACATGAGGCTCCGTTCTAAATAATGTTACACAATAAATTTTTCTTGATGCACAAAAAAATTGGACAGAAATTGGGAAAAGAGAGAAGACTTTACAGTTAACAGTGGAGATACCTTTTGAGGCGGTATAAGCACCGATTGGCATGAGGAAAAAACCAAAGAGTAGAGAAGTCCCAGAGCAGTGTGGCTTGGTCTTGGGCCGCAGGATGGGAGTCAAAGATGGCCGTGTGTTATGGGCTGCTACTTAGAGAACTTGGTTCTTGATGTGATGATGCTGAGGGAGAGGACCTGGGATGTTGAGGAGAGGTGTGACTGTGGGATGCTTGTAGGTTGTTCTTTGAATCCTTGCTGTGTCGATAAGGCTGTGTGGCAGAAGAGTTCTTTGGCTCTTTCACCTTCTGTTCTGTTATTATGGTGGTTTAAAGAGGTCCAGGTTGCTGTGAATGAATGAGATGATGTGTTTGATCCTGGATCTGGCGTGGACATTGGCGGCGACACTTTTTTGCCATGCTTGGAGATTGTCTTGTGAGGGCTTTGTCATGTGCCAGGATTCTGTGAAGATGCATTCGGTGGCATAGTGCATTGCTGTCTCCACTTTTCCGCAGCCGCAGAGGTCACTTTGGTGCAGGCCGAATCTTTTCCTATGTGCTGGGAATGGTTAGTGTTCTGAGAAGAAGATGATCTCTTCTCTGGATCAGTTTGCTGAGTGGGTGGAGACTTTTGAGAGGATGTCTCTTATTTTCTTGCCTGTGTCGCTTTTGTTCCATTCCAGTTGCCACTGTTGCATCATTTTGTTTTTGAGGATGGATTTAATGTATGGCTTGGGAAGTTTCTGATTATCATACATATTGCCTGTCGCAGAGGCTTCCTTGGCCAACTGGTCAGCTTTTTCATTTCCCTCATGTCCTGCATGGGCTTTAATCCAGTGCAGTGTTATATTTGTATTGTTCAGGAGTGCGTTAAAAAATTTTCTGGCAGTTGGGCTTGTGGTTTTAGGGTTTGATGTTGCTTGAAAGCTGGCTCTGTTGTCCACGTGGATTGAAATTGAAGTAGAAGGGGGGTACTGGGTGGCCAGCTCCACCGCTTCCTTGAGGGCTGTGAGTTCTGCTTGAAAAACTGTGCTATTGTCATTAAATTTTGCTGACCAGTTGTGTGTCCATGTGTTTTGTTCTTGTACACAAAGAGCTGCCCCTACTCCATCAACAGTTTTTGATCCGTCTGTAAAAATTCTTACGTCTGCTCTTTGTGGTGGGAGATCTCCATCCTCGCTGATGTTAACTTGATTTATTTCCAGGTGTTGTGAAGGGTGGGATGTCCATCCTATGGCCTTTTCCTCTAGGTCTTTGGGTGTTATGTCTGTGACGTGTGCTGGTAGACAGTTTCTAAGTCTGTATATTGTGGTGATGCGGGCTTCATATTGAAGTTGAAAAGACAGGGGGGGAATTCCCAGGATTGTTTGGAGTGCTGCTGCTGACGTCGTGCGATAAGCCCCTGATATTGCTAGTAAGAATGGTATCTGTATTGTGTTGAGTTTTCTTGCCAGCTTTGTTGTTGGAGTGAGACACCATGCTGCTGCCCCATGCGCTAGCATTCTCTCCGCCACTGTCTTGTAAAGAGTTTTTCTGTGTTTTTGTGAGATTCCCCAATTTGTCCCTGCGATCTTCCTTAGGTTTTTATTAAGTTTGTGGGCTTTGGTTGCTCGTGCTGCTAGGTGGTCCGCCAGGTTAGCTTGTCGTCTATCAGAATTCCCAGGATAGAATGGACTTCTGTCTTTTCCGAAGTTATTCTAAAACTTGCGACTGTGTTGGAGTGTTGTATGTAGTTTGTTTTTTCCAGTGAGACCTGAAGTTTGTTTTGTGTTGTCCATTCTTGGAATGTGTCGAGGGCTTGCTGTGCCTCTATCTTTAATTTTGAGAGAACGTTTGAGTGGATTACCATGACGAAGTCGTCAGCAAATGCTTGTATATATACGTTGGCTGGCCATTCTTTATTAAGTATTCCATTTGCAACCAAATTTCACAGGGCCGGGCCACTACATGATCCTTGTGGGCAGCCCTTTCCCTGGCTTCTTGACACTCTATCCTGTGGAGTCTGAATTGTTACTATTCTGTTTTGCAGGAGACTAAGGAAGGTTTGTGTTATTTTGTCTGGAGCTCCGCTTTTAATGAGGCTATCGATAATTGCTTGGTGTTGTAGGTTGTCGAATGCTCCTTAGATGACAATCGACAGGACCAGGACGTGTTTGCTTGTTTTTCTCGCTTCTTGGATATTATGGATGAGTGAGTGTATACCTGTGTCCACTGACCAGCCCTCTCTAAATCCATGTTGATTGTTGCTTGTAAGGTTATTGCTTTCTAGGTGGAATGTAAGTCTTTGCGTTAGAAGTTTTTCCAGAGCCTTTCCTATTGTAGGAAGAAGAGAGATTGGTGTGTAGGAAGTAATTAGTTGAGGGTCTTTGTCTATTTTCTGAAATAAGATTATGTTTCCAATTTTAAAGGAATCTCGGAAGTGGCGAAGCTCCAGACATATGTTGAACAATGTTGGAAGGAGGGATTTGAATCTTTGGTGGATTGTTTACACGATCTGTGAATTCGGGAGGAAGTTGCGTGGCGCCAAGGCTTAGTTGGTTAAAGCGCCTGTCTAATAAACAGGAGGTCGCGAGATCGAATTTCGCCGGTTCCTGTGGGTCGTTATCTTTAAAGTGATAATGTTTTAAGGTGGACATACTATCGAAGAGATCGCAAGTTCGAATATCTTCGGTGCCTGTGTATCGCTACTTTTATCGAGATAATGTTTTAAGTTACACATACTGTCTGTGAATTACATGATAAGCAGCGAGGCGCCGTGGCTTAGTTGGTTAAAGCGCCTGTCTAGTAAACAGGAGATCGCGAGTTCGAATCTCGCCGGTGCCTGTGTGTCTCTACTTTTTACGAGATAATTTTCAATATGGGAAAAAGTACTGTGAATTCGGGAGGAAGTTGCGAGGCGCCGTGGCTAAGTTGGTTAAATTGCCTGTCAATTAAACAGGTGATCGCCAGTTCGAATCTCGCCGGTGCCTGTGGGTTTTTATTTTTAAAGTGATAATGTTTTAAGGTAGACATACTATCGAAGAGATCGCAAGTTCGAATATCGTCGGTGCATGTGTCTCGCTACATTTAACGAGATAATGTTATAAGTTAGACATACTCTCTGTGAATTACATGAAAAGCAGCGAGGCGCCGTGGCTCAGTTGGTTAAAGCGCCTGTCTAGTAAACAGGAGATCGCGAGTTCGAATCTCGCCGGTGCCTGCGGATCGTTATTTCTAAAGAGATATTTTTTTAAGGTGGACATACTATCGAAGAGATCGCAAGTTCGAATATCATCATCTTTGGTACTTGCAATGTATCGCTTTATCGAGATAATGTTTTGGTTATAGCTACAGTCTCTGAATTACATGATAAGCAGCGAGGCGCCGTGGCTTACGTTAAAAGCGCCCCTCTAGTAAACAGGAGATCTAGCGAGTTCGAACTTCGCCGGTGCCTATGGGTGTTATTTTAATGATACAGATCTAAGGTGGACATACTATCTAAGAATCGCAAGTCAGATATCTTCGGTGCCTGTGTATCGCTACTTTAATCGAGACAATGTTTTAATTACACACTACTGTCTGGAATTACATGATAAGCGAGGGCGCCGTGGCTTATTGTTAAGCGCCGCTGTAGTAAACAGGAGATCGCGAGTTCAGATCTCGCCTTGCCTTGGGTCGTTATTTTTTAAACAGATTATGTTCTAAGGTGGGCATACTATCGAAAGGATCGCAAGAGTTCCGAATATCTTCGGTGCCTGTGTATCGCTACTTTTATCGAGATAATGTTTTAAGTTATACATACAGTCTGTGAATTACATGATAAGCAGCGAGGCGCCGTGGCTTAGTTGGTTAAAGCGCCTGTCTAGTAAACAGGAGATCGCGAGTTCGAATCTCGCCGGTGCCTGGTCGTTATTTTTAAAGAGATTATGTTCTAAGGTGGGCATACTATCGAAAGGATCGCAAGAGTTCGAATATCTTCGGTGCCTGTGTATCGCTACTTTAATCGAGATAATGTTTTAAGTTACATACTGTCTGTGAATTACATGATAAAGCAGGCGCCTTAGTTGGTTATGCGCCTGTCTAGTAAACAGGAGATCGCGAGTTCAGATCTCGCCGGTCCTGTGGGTCGTTATTTTAAAAGATTATGTTTAAGGTGGACATACTATCGAAAGATCGCAAGTTCGAATATCTTCCGTGTGCCTTTATCGCTACTTTTATCGAGATATTGTTTTAGTTATACATACTCTGGTAATTACATGATAAGCAGCGACCTGGCTTAGTTGGTTAAAGCGCCTGTCTAGTAAACAGGAGATCGCGAGTAGAATCTCGCCGGTGCTCATGGGTCGTTATTTTTTTAAAGGATTATTTTCTAAGGTGGACATACTATCGAAAGATCGCAAGTTCAGATATCTGGGTGCCTGTGTATCGCTACTTTTTATCGAGAAATGTTTAAGTTACATATCTCTGTGAATTACATGAAGCAGCGAGGCGCCGTGAGCAGTTGTTAAAGCGCCTGTCTGTAAACAGGAGATCCGAGTTCGAATCTCGGTGCCTATGGGTCGTTATTTTTTAAGTGATAATGATTTAAGGTGGACATACTATCTAAGAAAGAAGTTCGATTATCGTCGGTGCGCATTAATGTCCTTCATTCTGAGAGAATGTTATAGTTAACATACTGTCTGTGAATTACATGATAAGCAGGAGCCGGCTGGGTGGTTAAACGCCCTTCTAAGAAACAGAGATCGCGAGTTCGAATCTCGCCGGTGCCTATGGGTCGTTATTTTTAAAGTGATAATGATTTAAGGTGGACATACTATCTAGAAATCGCAAAGTTCGAATATCTCGGTCCTGTGTATCGCTACTTTAACGAGAAATGTTTAAGTTACATACTGTCTGTGAATTACATGATAAGCAGCGAGGCGCCGTGGCTAGTGTTAAAGCGCCTGTCTAGTAACAGGAGATCGCGATTCGAATCTCGCCGGTGCCTTGGTTTATTTTAAAGATGATATGTTTAAGGTGGACATACTATCTAAGAAATCGCAAGTTCGAATATCTTCGGTGTCTGTGTATCGCTAATTTTATCGAGATAATGTTTTAAGTTACACATACTGTCTGTGAATTACATGATAAGCAGCGAGGCGCCGTGGCTTAGTTGGTTAAAGCGCCTGTCTACTAAACAGGAGATCGCGAGTTCAGATCTCGCCGGTGCCATGGGTCGTTATTTTTTAAAAGATTATGTTAAGGTGGGCATACTATCTAGAAAGATCGCGTTCGAATATCTTCGGTCCTGTGTTATCGCTACTTTTATCGAGAAATGTTTAAGTTATACATACGCTCGAATTACATAATAAGCCGAGGCGCGTGGCTTAGTTGGTTAAACGCCTGTCTAGTAAACAGGAGATCGCGAGTTCAGATTCCGGTGCCTTGGGTCTTATTTAAGATATGATTTAAGGTGACATACTATCGAAATCGATTCGAATATCTTCGGTGCCTGTGTATCGCTACTTTTATCGAGATAATGTTTTAAGTTACATATACTGTCTGTGAATTACATGATAAGCAGCGAGGCGCCGTGGCTTAGTTGGTTAAAGCGCCTGTCTAGTAAACAGGAGATCGCGAGTTCGAATCTCGCCGGTGCCTATGGGTCGTTATTTTTAAAGTGATACAGATTTAAGGTGGACATACTATCTAAGAAATCGCAAGTTCGAATATCTTCGGTCTTGTATACGCTACTTTAATCGAGACAATGTTTTAAGTTACACATACGTCTGTGAATTACGATAAGCAGCGGCGTGGCTTAGTTGGTTAAAGCGCCTGTCTAGTAACAGAGATCGCGAGTTCAGTCTCCCGGTTGCCTATGGGTCGTTATTTTTAAAGTGATAATGATTTAAGGTGGACATACTATCTAAGAAATCGAAAGTTCGATTATCTCGGTGCATGTTATCTACTCATTTAACGAGAAATGTTTAAATTGACATACGTCTGTGAATTACATGATAGCAGCGAGGCGCCGTGTGGTTGGTTAAAGCGCCTTCAGTAAACAGGGAGATCGAGTTCGAATCTCCGGTGTATGGGTCGTTATTTTTAAAGGATAATGATTTAAGGTGGACACTATCTAAGAAATCGAAAGTTCGATTATCTCGGTGCTGTGTCATCGCTACTTTAAGAGAATGTTTAAGTTAACATACTTTGTAGGAATTACATGATAAGCAGCGAGGCGCCGTGGCTTAGTTGGTTAAAGCGCCTGTCTAGTAAACAGGAGATCGCGAGTTCGAATCTCGCCGGTGCCTATGGGTCGTTATTTTTAAAGTGATACAGATTTAAGGTGGACATACTATCTAAGAAATCGCAAGTTCGAATATCTTCGGTGCCTGTGTATCGCTACTTTAATCGAGACAATGTTTTAAGTTACACATACTGTCTGTGAATTACATGATAAGCAGCGAGGCGCCGTGGCTTAGTTGGTTAAAGCGCCTGTCTAGTAAACAGGAGATCGCGAGTTCGAATCTCGCCGGTGCCTGTGGGTCGTTATTTTTAAACAGATTATGTTCTAAGGTGGGCATACTATCGAAAGGATCGCAAGAGTTCGAATATCTTCGGTGCCTGTGTATCGCTACTTTTATCGAGATAATGTTTGTTATACATACAGTCTGATGAATTACATGATAAGCAGCGGAAAA